GCTCCGTGCCCACTCAGGAAGGGAGAGCAGCCCAGAGCCCAGAGCAGAGGTCAAGCAGAGCTTAAGTACACTTTTTGGGGAGGGCGGGGGCTTTGCATACATCAGAACAAATCATCATGAGGCGCAGGGAAATTGAACAACAACTCTGAGACGTGATTGGCACATTCATTGGCGGGAACAGGCTGGACGGGGGTGATTGGTCACTTCTAAGCGGGGTACACATTCAAACTGATTGGTTTTAGGGCCTCAAGGACTAGGTGACACACTACCCAGAGTCCCAGGTTATTAGATAACCAGTGGAAATATTTACTGGGCAGTTCCGGTATTGTCCTAACAGCTACGGGGATTACAGGCTCGGGGGGTAGCAGAGGAATTTTGACAATACCTGGTCTTTCACTTTTTAGCCCAGGCCCTGCAGCTTGGAAACTTTACAATGCCCGGTCCTTTACACTTTAACTCGGGCTTTGCAGTTTAGAATCAGCTTAGAAATTTTACCCTTACAACTCCACGGGGAACTGCCCGAGCGGGCCCTGCACAGGGCTGGCACGCCACCAGTGAGGCGGAGAGGAGTGGCTTCCACAGGCACCACGTGCAGGTCCAGGCTCCTGACCTGGGGAGCAGCTGGGCAGAGCTCCTTGTGCAGATCTGCCCTGCAGCCTGGGGTGAGCCACCGCTCCCCCAGGAGTCCTTCCCCCGAGCCAGGCTCAGTCTTGCATGTGCCAGCTCACCCACGGGGCAGCACTTATCCCACACTGTGTGCAGGTGCCAGGAGTCTATCGCCCCTCCGGAGGCCAGGACTGGGGGCACCAGGAGACGGCCAGTGGTTCCGCCTCTGAAAGTCCACCCACGTGCCTCCTAGGGAAGGACGTCGGTGTGGCACGGCGAGATGACCTGACGGGGCAAGCGGAGGCTGGCGGGGAGGTCTCCAGTCCTCGGCCAGCGCCTGAGGATGGCTCACGGCCCCCACCAGCCCACCGGGCCGTTTCTGCCTCATTTCGTTAGACAGAGGAGACTGCTACCTACCGGAAAGCCAGGAAGGCAGCGCCAGCTGGGACGGCGCCTGCCAACAGATGGCGGCCCTTCCAGCCTGCTCTATTTCTGGCTGTGGATCACACACCCCACAGCGACACCGCAGACGGGACGTGATGGACAGGGGTGCTTCAGACTGCGCCCCGCTCCTCGCTCCTGGGAAAGTGGGGGTGGAAATCAAACTCAAACAAGCTTCTCTTTGACCATGTGGTTCTAGTTAAGCCCGCGGTTGGCAAAGTGAAGGACCCATGGAACCCCAACAGAGGTGAGGTGCAGGGACTCGGCAGGAAGCCGACTTGGCCTTGAGCCCCTGCTTCAGAGAAGCCTCTATCAGAGATGGGGGGCGGAGGAAGAGAGAGAGAGAGACAGAGAGAGAGAGAGAGAGAGAGACAGAGAGACAGAGAGAGACAGAGACAGAGAGAGACAGAGAGACAGACATGGGGATGATGGGAGACAGAGGAGGAGGAGGAAGAGAGAGACAGAGAGAGAGA